GGGGGGGGGGGCACAAACAGATGCGTACTCTACCAGGGTTCAGTCCTCCCATCTTGTTTAAGGCTTACAAAATTGTTGTGAAATTGTGGGGAGATTTTTAAAATTATCCCCAAATGCACTGATGTACTTCAAAAGTGACATCAAAATACTGCGATTCAACACATATATCTTTCAAAGTTGGTAATATTTGATATAAGTGCCTTTAGCATTCATGTAAACAACACAGATGTGACCAAAGCGGCGTGATGCCGGGCTTTGATCCCAGCGTCTCCGCTTTGATCTGGCTCGCAGACTAAAACATGTATTTTCCGAGGGGGAATACAGGCAGGCACCGCAGTGAAATGGCCCTGGCAGCATTAGCCAAACATTGGCTTAGGCTGGGGATCCAAACCGCCAACACACAACCCAACAAATTAACTAAACATACTTACCAGTCTCACATGTTCAGGGCAGCATGCCCCGTTAGCCTTGACAAATTGTGAGCTGCTGCTCTCCTAATAATGCATTTACAGAAAGCCCCCCCCCCTCCCCTGCACCACATTTGGAGATTAATGTAGGGATGTTGACACAGGTTATGCAGATAGCGTATTTGTACAAGTAGAGACCGGAAAGAGCTTACAGAAAATGAGAGCCACTGAGCTAATACATCTGACCTCCAGGACACCTCTGCAGACAAGCACTGGCGTTTTACCACCAGCGCGGTCGCAAATAATTTGCGCTAATTGGCTTTGAAGGCAATTAGCGTGTAGAGAAGACACAGAGGAGGAATGCTGGGGAGAAAGTGGTGCAGGATGAAATGCATATTGATGGTTAGCATCAAAAGCAGGCCTCTTTGAAGTGCTGCTATGGTGTCAGCGTGTGATGGGAGAGCTGATAGAAAAAAGTGGACAGGAGACAGGTTCTTCTTAAGCACATGGCTGGCTGCTAGGAGAGGTCAACCATCCCATAGCTGTGCATGTTTGTGTAGCCACTACACAAAGAAAGTGAGGCTCCATGTTCTTAAAGGTCTAAATGAGAACAACACAATTTAATTACCAATATTTCAAAAGAAATAAACAAACATTATTTACAAATTGAACTAAAATACTAAAATAATTTATTAATATACAATGAATATTATGATCTAACAGAACTCAGTCAAGGGTAAATGTAGATTAATTACCGTAATTTCCGGACTA